GATACGACTTGCGGCAGGTCAGATGTGTCTCGCCGGCATGGGGGGGCTATGGTCCCAGACCCCCCTTGTCATCAACGGACGATGGGCCGGCGCGTCGGTCTCCCGGGCTACCGCCGAGGGGAGGGGGGATGCAGGGGGAAAGAATAGGAAGCACGAGGTGCGAGGACACAAGAAAAGGAAAATGGAGAAGGACAAGGAAGAGATCGTGAAGGGGACGGAGGAGGAAGAAATAGCGATATGGCCAGACCCTCAGAATAGAGACAAATACAGGAGTATTGTTCTCGAGCGTCTTGAGTGGTCAAGGGAACACGTAGAATTTATTGGGGATGCTACAAACAGAAGTAAGAGGATGAGCAAAAGAAAGAAGGAATATATCACCGAAAATACGGGTAACATGATCTCGTATTTTGAAGAAATGGTTAATGCCTTCCACAAAAGGACAGAGTATCTTGAAAGATGTGTACAGGAAAGAGACCAAATGCTGGAAGAGAGTAGGAGGAGGGGTAAGAAGCGGGAAGAAGTGCTGAAGGAGGAATGGGCAAGGAAAGAGCAAGAGTGGAACATGGAGAGGAGTGAATGAGAGAGGGAAAAGGCATATTGAAGGATGGAGGTTGAGAGCGGGATTCAGAATGGGAGGAGTGAAAGGAGAGAGTTGGCTGACCGTGCGGTGTCCCCCTTCCCGGAGGTGAGGCCCGATGTACGGGATCGGGCGACGTCCCCGCTGCGTGTGCGGACCTCCGGGTTGTTGGCGGTGGGATCGGGGCCCGTCGTGTCCGCCGCTCCGGCCGCGTCTCCACCGCCGCCGTCAAGCCCCCCATAAATACATGATGGAACAGCAAAAAAAAGGAACGACTTCCGGCGGGTCGGGTACGTCGGGCCGGCGCGGGGGGGCTGTGGTCCCAGGCACCCCCGTGTCGTCAACGGACTATGGGCCACAAGAAACCGGCGCGTCAACACCGGGCGCGCCGGCGGGTATTGCAACCGCCGAGGGGAGGGGGGAGACTGATAGAAAGGGAAAGGACAAAATGGAGGGAGGGGGAAAGAGAAGGAAGCTGGACAAGGAGGGAGAGGATGCGGACAAGGATGAGGGGGTTGATGAAAATGAGGAGATCGCAAGGAGAGTCGAGACTGCGCTGAGAAGCATTCTCAGCCGGGCGAGAGATGAGGGAATGGAGGCGGATTGTGAAGAGGAAGAAAGCGAAGAGGAAGACTTGGAAGCGGAGGCAGAAGAGGAAGGAAACAAGGGCTTTTTTTTTTTTTTTTTGAGCCAGGGGAAATGCGTTACGCATACCCACGATCTCCGGGGGGGAGACCGCGGGTTATGTGGGGCTCCTCCCCCCGAGGATGCTCGGGGGGGCCCTACCCACTAAAACCCCTGGCGGGTCCGTCCTCAGCGGTCATCAGGGGGCCCGCGGGAACCACTTGCGTATAACATCCGCGAACCCCCCTCCGCGGTCCTGAGGACCTCTCCCGGACCGGGAGTAATAAATCACCCCGGTCACGCTCCTCCTGAGCAGCGGCGCGGTGCGACCCAACACCGCGCCGGCTCCCTCCCGGGCCGCTTTGATTGGAGGGTGTGCCCCCGCACACCCCCCAAGCGACCCGTAGGGGAGAGGAGGGACCGGTGGAGGCAGAAATTCCGCCAGGCACCGACCCCCCTCGACGCCGGCCTGATGTTCGGCCGGCGCCGTGGCCCCGGTCTAGATGGTCAGACCGGGGTCCTCTCCGCCGGCAGGGTCCCGGGGCAACTCCCCGGGACCCGCCGGCACGCCTCCCGTTGGGGGGGCGGGCCGAGCCGGCCGCGTCAGGCGGCCGACCCCTGCGATGCCCCGGCGGCCTATCGCCCGCCGGAGCACCGCCCCCCATTGGGCACTCGGGACCACCCACACGGTGGCCCGAGGCGCTTCCATCCTCCGAGCACACCGCGCAGGCCGCGCTCGCTGCGCAGTCCCGCGCGATGTGCCCCGTCCAGCCACACCGGTAACAGAGCCCACTCCGGTCGATTGACGCGGAGCAGGCCGCCCGGATGTGGCCGAGCCGCCAACACCGGTGGCACTGGAGAGGGCGGGGAGCGAGCATCACTACCCGCGCACCCGCCCACCCCAGCGCCACCCTCCCTTCTGCCGCCACAGCGGCGGCCGCGGCGAGGGGGAGTCTAGCCCAGACTGCCCCCTCGCCCCGCCAACCCCATCGGATGGGGCCGAGGCGCACTTCGCCCGGCCCACATCCTCCCCGCGTAGCGAGGACCTTCACTATTTCCTCTGGGAGGACCGACTCGTCAAAACCGACGAGTCGGACCTCCCCAATCCTTACGGGCCGTGTGATCACGGCCCCCGGGAGCGACGCCCTGAGCTTGGCGGCCAGGGCGTCCGTCTCCCCCTCTTTCCCGGGCCCGGCCAGCCAAAACAGGAGGCCGCCATTCGCGGCCCTCCTAACGAAGGCGGGCCGGACCCCACCCGCGCCCGGGGCAAGGAAACAAGGGCTGGCCGGACCCGATGGACAAAAAAAGGAACCGGGAATTTGTCCTCGCCCGGATTGGCTTTGCCGTAGAAAGTTTCAACCTCATTGAGGAAGCCACCAGTAGAAGCAAGAGGATGAGTAAAGCAGAAAAGGCGAACATCAATGGGCACAGCAACGAACTGAGGAGGTACTGTGAGGAAATCGGGAAAGCATTTAAATTGAGGACAGAGGCCCTGGAAGGGAAAATCAAGGAATGGGAAAAGTGGTGGGAAGACAGAGGGAAAGAAAGAGAGGACACAGAAACGAGGAGGAGAGAGGAACTGAAGGAATGGGAAAGCAAAGGAAAGAAATGGGATATGGAAAGGATTGAATGGGAAATCAAAGAAGGGAAATGGGAGCTGGAGAGGAAGAAGTGGGCTATCGAAAGAATAAACTGGGAAAGCAAGGAAAAAAAGCTGGTGGCATGTGTCGGAAGATTGGGATAAGGAAAGGAAGCAGTTGATCAGGGAAAGGGAGGAGGCGGCGAACTCGATGGCGGAGTTGGCCGCACAGAGTAAGAGCATGGTGGATCGGGCCGTGTCTCCGTTTCCGGAGGCGCGGCCCGATCTGAGGGACAGGGCGACGTCCCCGATGCGGGACGCCGCGTAGAGGCGTCGGCCGGCGGTGGCCGCCGACTGGGGAGGGGCCCTCCGTGCCCGCCGGGCCCGTCGCAGTCCCCTCGCGGGGTCGTGGCTGGGTCGCGGCGGGTGGGGCGGGCGGAAGGAGAGGCAGGGGCCCAAAATGGGGAGAAAGGGGGACGCCGGGCTCGGGGCGCCTGGAGGTGCCCCGGGTGCCGCCGGTGCCGCCGGCGACGGCGGTGGTGGCGGTGCGCGTGGAGGGGGGTCTCTCGTACGCGGAGGCCATCCGCAGGGTGCGGGAGGTCCCCCTCCAGGGAATGGGGGTCCGTCCGGCCTTTGTGAGGAGAGCCGCGAACGGCGGCCTCCTCCTGGGGCTGGCGGGCCCAGGCAGAGAAGGCAGGGACCGGGGAGCCGACGACCTGGCCGATAAGGTCAGGGCGGCGCTCCCCGGGGCCTCGGTGACTAGGCCCAGGAGGTATGGGGAGGTCCGGCTCGTCGGTATTGACGAGTCGGTCCTCCCCGAGGAGATTACGGGTGCTCTCGTGGCCCGCGGTAATTGCGGGCCAAAAAAGATCCGAGTGGGCCCCATCCGGCGCGGCTGGGGGGGGGTCGGGACAGCTTGGGCCCGCCTCCCCCTTGAGTCTGCCGTGATGGTGGCCAGGGAGGGAAGGGTGGCGCTGGGGTGGGCGAGTGCGCGGGTGGAAATGCTCGCAGCTCGCCCGCTCCAGTGCCACAAGTGTTGGAGGCTCGGCCACATCCGGGCGGCCTGCTCCGCGTCAATCAACCGGAGTGGGCTCTGTTACCGGTGTGGCCGGGCGGGGCACATCGCGCGGGACTGCGCAGGGAGCGCGGCCTGCGCGGTGTGCTCCGAGGATGGCAGGGACTCGGGCCGCCGGGTGGGTGGTCCCGAGTGCCCAATGGGGGGTGGTGCTCCGGCGGGCGAAAGACCGTCGGGGCATCGCAGGGATCGACCGCCGAACGCGGCCGGCTCGGGTTGCCCCCCTACGGGAGGCGTGCCGGCGGACCCCGGGGAGTTCCCCGGGATCCGGCCGGCGGAGAGGGCCCCGGTCTGACCATCTAGACCGGGGCCACGGCGCCGGCCGAACATCAGGCCGGCGTCGAGGGGGGTCGGTGCCGGGCGGGACTCCGCCTCCACCGGTCCCCCCTCTCCCCTACGGGTCGCTTGGGGGGTGTGCGGGGGCGCACTCTCCAATCATAGCGGGCCGGGAGGGAAGCGGCGCGGTGTTGGGTCGCACCGCGCCGCTGCTCAGGAGGAGCGCGACCGAGGGTGATTTATTACGCCCGGTCCGGGAGAGGTCCTCAGGACTGCGGAGGGGGATCCGCGGAAGTAATACGCAAGTGGTCCCCGCGGACCCCCTGACGACTGCTGAGGACGGACCCGCCAGGAGTTTTAGTGGGTAGGGCCCCCGTCGAGTTTCTCGGCGGGGGAGGAGCCCCACATAACCCGCGGTTTCCCCCCGGAGACCGTGGGTATGCGTAAAGCATTTCCCCTGGCTTACAAAAAATAAAAAAAAAAGCTCAGCAAGGAGCAATACGGCTTCCGGGAGGGACGATCGACCGTGGACGCGATCCTGCGCGTCCGGTTCCTCTCGGTGGCCGTTGTGAGGAGGGGGGAGGAGTTGTGTTGGCGGTGTCCCTGGACGTCGCCAACGCTTTCAACTCCCTCTCCTGGGACCAGGTGGAGGCGGGCTTGGCCCACTTCCTGGTCGCTCCCCACCTGGTCTCAGTGATAAGGGACTACTTCCGGGACAGAAGACTGGAGTTCCGCAATAAAGCGGAACTCCAGTGCGGAAGGGCAGTATACCGCGGTGTTCCTCAGGGGTCCGTCCTGGCACCCCTATTGTAGAACATCGCGTATGACCAAGTCCTCCGTCTTGTCCTCCTCCCCGGCTGCACCATTGTATGCTATGCAGACGACACTCTGGTGTTGGCCGGAGGCAGGGGCTGGCGGAATTGAAGTTGGGCCGTTTGGCGGTGGACCAGGTGGTCAGCTCCCTGAAAGCGATAGGCCTCACGGTGGCTCCCCTCAAAACGGAAATGCTGTTTATGAATAATCGTGCAAGGGGAGAGCTGTCGAGGGCCCGGATCCGGATCGACAACGTCTTCGTGATGGCGGGTCCCACGTTAAAATACCTGGGGCTTGTCCTGGATGGCAAATGGGGGTTCCAGAAACATTTCGAGCTTCTGACCCCCAAGTTGGGCAGGGTGGCCAATGTGTTGGGTGGCTTCCTGCCCAACCTCGGCAGCCCTAAGAGGAGGGCACGGCGGCTGTATATTGGCGTCGTCCACAGCATGGCTCTTTACGGGGCCCCGGTCTGGGCGAGCGCGATGGCGACCAACCAGAGATTAATTTCCCTGGCGCACCGCATTCACCGGTGGGTCGCCATTTGCCTCGCCTATCGGGCCTATCGGACGACGTCGCATATGGCCGCCACGGCCCTGGCCGGTCTGCCCCCGCTGGAGCTCCTTGCTCAAATGCATGCCGAAAACTATCGGCGTGTCAAGGGGCTCCGTGCTGGGGGAGACCCCAAACATCTGGCCAGGGTCATTAGATTAGCTAAGGACCAGGCCCGTCAACGCCTCCTCCTTAGGTGGAGCATCCACTTGGAGGGGGCGACGAGCCGGTCGGGAACACGGGTCTCCGAGGCCATCCGGCCCTGTCTAAAGGAATGGGTAAACAGGGCCCGCGGGGAGTTGTCCTTCCGGACAACGCAGATACTCACCGGACACGGATGCTTCGGTGAGTACTTGCATAGGATAGGTAGGGAGCTCACCTTCCGCTACCACCACTGTGGTGACAAGGTGGACTCGGCGCAGCACACCCTCGAGGAATGTTCCTCGTGAGTGGCGGAGCGCCGGGTCCTGACTGATGTTGTGGGAGCGGACCTCTCTTTTCCGGCCCTTATCAGGGCCATGCTTGGGGGGGGACGAGGGCTGATCCACCGTCACTTCCTTCTGTGACGCAGTTATATCGCAGAAAGAGGAGGCGGAGCGGATACGGAGGGGCGAAGCCGCCCCTCGGGATGGGGTGAGGCGCCGCCGGAGGAAAAGGGCAGCGCCTCACCTTCCCGCGCACCAGCACGGAACTGAGGGACTTCGCACCCGTGAGCGGGAAGGGAACGCCACCCGGGGTACCTGCGGGTGTGCCGCCACCTCCACCAATACCGCCGGGCCCTCCTGATCAACGGAGGGCCCGGCGCGGGGGAGACGCGTTGCAAGGCGCGACTACCCCCCCCCCGTGACAAGAAGACAGACCAGGCGCCTCCGGGAGGGGAGCAGGGCGGCCAGTTCGCAAGGGCGGACTCTTAGGCCGCTCACCTCTCTCCCAGAGCCAGGAGGCTCCTGACCGAGTGAGGGGGGGGCGGAGGGGAATAATACTCTTCCGCCCCCACAACCTCGGTCAGGAGACCGACCGGACGGAACCGGACCCGGCCAATAGCGCCCCCTACAGGTGTGGTGTGACCGGACGGGGAGGCCCACGTCCGGTCATAGAGGATCGGAGCAGCGGGCCGGGAGTAAATTATCCCTCCTGGCCCGGTAAGGTGACGGGGTTTAGGTTTTCCCCGCCCCGCGGCTGAGGGCGTCCCGGAAGTAATGCGTAAGCGGTTCCCGGGACGCCCTCGCAATAGCCGCAAGGGGCCCGGCAGAGGTTTTAGTGGGTAAGCCCCCCCCCCTGGACGGTTAGTTCCGGGGGGGGAGAGTCCCACACTACCCCTGAGAAAGTCCCGTATTTCCCGGAATGTGCGTAAAGCATTTCCTCTGCCTAAAAAAAAAAAAAATGGTTTCCTTGAACGAAATAAAAGTTTTATTTTCATCATCTTAAAAAATGAAATTTCGTTTAAGAATATAATATTTTAATGAAATAAAAAAAAACCACCAAATTAAACAAGTACGAATATTAAATTTAAAGAAAGTATTTTCTCCGAAAAAACGGTATAAGAAGTATAAAAAATATACAATAAGACAAATTAATGATTGCCACTAACGAGTGCTATTCTAAGTACTATTCTATAAATATTATTGATGTAAAACATTACTGGATTTGAAATACAAGTAACAAAAATAACTAGTAAATAAATAAAATATGTTATATTCGTAATATTTTTTTAAATATTCGTAATATTTTTTTAAATATTACTACTATATTACTTTGCAATATTGCTAAAGTAATATTGCAAATTAATTATTGTCACTGCAAAGTCTCTGCAACATTGCACTGCAATATGCAATCTTGCAACGTTGTAGCAATGTTGCTGCAAGCTTCTGTGCTGTATGGGCATTGCTGAGATTCAAGCCTAAGACCTCTTCCAGGTAGGAGACACGTCAAAATGACATCCAAATCTAAGTAAGTTCAGGATAAAAAATAACCAAGGAATGATCAAAAATATCGTGAGATATCGTCAAAGTGATAGTCTAATGTCACAGATCGATGACGACATTTTAGACAACTTAATGACGTTTTATGACGTCTCTAAACGTCAATAATACGTTTTTAAGACGTTATACCCTTATATAAATATCATACTAAGAATCATTGATAATTACTTATTATCCGTATTAAAAATACTGGATAATAAGTAATTAGCAATGATTCTTAGTATGATATTTCTATAAGGGTACAGAAACGTCATTAGGATGTCACAAAAAAGACACAAAAGATGTTTTAAAGACGTCGTTATTTAGTCACTTGACGTCATTCGACCAGTTATGACCAGTTTTTTACGTCATTTTGACGTGAGTCTGTTACTGGGGCTGATTCTCGTGTCGTTCACCTTACCTACTGCGTCACTGTCACTTTGATTGAGAAACGCTTTATATTGTGTACATATAGTATATCCATATACGAAAGCATATGATTTATTTAAAAGAAGAGAATAGATTCTTTTAAAATATATGTTTTAAAAAGTATGTAGAAAGTATATTTAAAAAATATTTACATGTTTTAAAAGTAAGTAAAATAAATTATTTTGTAAATTTAAATAAATTTTTTTCTGATAATAAAAGAAACTTTAATTTGAAACATGAAAAAATACTTTTAATATTAGAAAAAAATTTATTCAGATTTATAAAATGATTTACTTGTATTTTATTTACTTTTAAAACAAGCAAATATTTATTTAAACAGTTTTTACATTTAAAAACACTAATTTTCTCCTTGTAAAGAAATCATTTGTTTATTCTTATATATATAGATATTTTAAATCAAAGAAATCACTTTTTTTATTTATAAATTCATAATTTTATAGCTTATTTTACAAATTTAAAAAAATATTTCTTTATATTTATTATATATTTTCAAAAATTTAACAAATATTTTTTAAGTTAAGAAATTATATGTGACAAAATATATTTCTTTCATTTAAAGAATTTTTTTCTAATGTAC